CCCCCCCCCCCCCCCCCAAAAAGATAAGTTTAGCTGACAAGAAGCATCAGAGTAAATAGCGTTTTGCCAGCAGGAGCTACTTCTGCTCAGCATTTTGTTAGCAAAAGAGCCGACAAACTGCGGCTACGCTGCCCGACTTTTAGTGATGTGTCTAAAGCCTCACTTAATGATGTGAATTTTTCACAACCCTGAGCGGTGGAGCTGGATGAACCTAAATTTATAGTGTAGACCTGACATCAGATGGCAGCATTATCATTCAGCATTATCTCCTTCCCTGCTAAAGCTATGGATTTAACAGTGAGAAAAGACTATACTAGAATCACTTGTCACTTCATTCCACTAAGGAGAGTGGAAGAAGGGAATGTATCTGAAGTAGATTATGGTCTTTTGTAAATGGCTGATTCGTGTCTTGCAAGTAGGTGTTTTCTTTGTGTAAAAGGGACACCTACTGGATAATTGCAGAAGTTACTATCTGTAGTTGGTTCTTGGTGGTGATCCAGTGAGCATAATTATTTCTATCCTAATACACCAAAAGCCACCTGATTCTTAACATTCCCATTGCAATGTGAGACGTTTCATAGTTTTTCCTCAGAAATAAGTAAACTCTGGGGTTAGGCCTATCTATAGCTCTAATTTTCACTGCTAGTATCACCATATATCCTTCACCTTTGATAACACAGGGTTTTGGTTGAGGAGCAGTTAGCATAAGCCTCAGTGGTGCTGGGCACTAGTGACAAAACTAAGTATTCGGCAGTGAGAAGTTGATACCGTGCCTGCTTTGAAACGGTCAGCTTTCAAAACACTAGTTCTTCCCTGCTCCTGTCAGCAGCTGCTGGTTTTACAAGTATCTCAATCCCCACAGAAAACTAATTCCAGCAGCACTGCTGCCAATGTGCATACAGATAGTTTGGAAAAGGAAGGAGGAATTCCCTAAATAGCGTGGCTGGCAGCAAGGATAGGTAACTGAACAGCTTGAGAAACACTGAGTGGTAGGACTGTGATACTAGAGATGTGAGTGTATAGTCATTTAAACAATAAACCAATATGCTTGGGCTTATCGGTTAATCCAAAATGACTACACATCTCTCTCTTTCCCCTTGCTGCCTCTGTGCTGCCTCTAATACAGGGTGTGTCTAGACTACATGCCTCTGCCGACAGAGGCATGTAAAATATGCTACCTGACATAGTCAAATATCCCCAGCTTCATTAAAATAAAAATGGCCGCCGCGCTGTGCCGGATCAGCTGATTGTCGGCACAGCGCGGCAGTTAAGACATGGCTCAGTCGACGGGGAAGCCTTTGTCGACCGCTCCCAGGAGCATTTTAGTAACTGTGTAAATGATTTTTTTTTCCAGCTAAACAGTTACTAAAATAAACGTTCTCTAACTTTTCTGTGTGATGCTAAGATCTAGACCAGTGATGGTCAACCCGTGGGCTGCATGTGGTCATTTGGGATTCCGTGTGTGGCCCACGTGATATTTTGGCAGGCAAGGGATTGTCAGATTCCACTGGCTTCCTTAGGCATAGTTTTTTTCCTCCCTATAGTACTCAAGTGACACACACACAGAAGTAGGGCACGTGAAGTGAGGTGCGGGCTGATTGCACACAACACTGACTGTGAGAGCTGCACATTCCCTCTGCATCCAATCAAAGTGCTGCTACGATTCAGTTGGCAGCCCCCATAAATTTTAGGTATGCAAGTGCAGTTAGCAAAACTAGCCATCCTGGTTATGACAAGCTTGCAGCTCACTGAGATGAAGGGGGATCACTTATGCCACCCACTCATTAACCCAGGTTGCCCATTACTGACCTAGACGTGGTAATCTGTATGCAGGCGTGTCAACTTTACTACTTACATTATTGTCCATATACACATTTCACAGTCCTGTTGTCCCAACTCAAAGGAAATTGAAAATTTCTTTACATATACCAAGAAACATCAGTGAGGGGGTTTCCTGGTACTACTGTCAATGGCTGCCAGAAAAAATGAATCTTGCTATACTGCTATTTTAAAAGGGGTCGGTCCAACCTGGAATGAGGCCCCAACCTCCTAGAAAAGAATTCATTTCCTGCTTTACAAATCTAAACCAGAGGAAGCATTGGAACTGGTTAACATAGGTGAAAATGTAGTTGCATGTTAAGTAAGTTATATCTGAATATCCACACTGGAGTAATTAGGGAATAGTGTCTTAGCTCCAAATCTGAGGAGCAGGACAGCTGTCAAAACTACCTCCCTCAGTTTTTAAATCTATGTTAAAAGCTCATCTGTATCCATTTTCTGAATTTTACTTTTCATCTACTTAAAAAATTATATGGAACAGTTTGGGATGGTTGTATTAGAGGGCCTTTGCCAAAGACTTGTGTCCCCTAGCTGCAAAGGTGGCTTAGGTAACCAGTGGTACGTGTACTCAAAGAAGACTCACAAGATTTCAACTTGATTCCCACCCTTTTGTCCCCATCCTCAGGTGAGAAGCTACGAGTCCTAGGTTACAACCAGAATGGTGAGTGGAGTGAGGTATGTTCTAAGAACGGGCAGGGATGGGTGCCAAGCAACTATATCACACCAGTGAACAGCCTGGAGAAGCATTCCTGGTATCATGGGCCAGTGTCGCGCAGTGCGGCAGAATATCTGCTGAGCAGCCTCATCAATGGCAGTTTCCTGGTTCGTGAAAGTGAGAGCAGCCCGGGGCAGCTGTCCATCTCCCTCAGGTATGAGGGGCGTGTTTACCACTACAGGATCAATACCACCACAGATGGAAAGGTAAGGCGCTCTCCAGGGGACACAATGGGAAGTGCTGTCTCAATTGTCTTGTACAAGTGAGAGGTTTATTGGTTTAACCATAAAGAGGGAATGTCTGTCCATGCGATCTCTCCTAATCCAAGAAATAACACTTCATAAGAAATCATAGAATCCTAGAACTGGAAGGGACCTCGAGAGGTCATCGAGTCCAGTCCCCGGCCCCCACGGCAGGACCAAGCATTGTTTAGATGATTCCTGATATCTATCCAATCTGCTCTTAAATATCTCCAGTGATGGAGATTCCACAACCTCCCTAGGCAATTTATTCCAGTGTTTAACCACCCTGACCGTTAGGAAGATTTTCCTAAACCTAAACCTCCCTTGCTGCAATTTAAGCCCATTGCTTCTTGTTCTATCCTCAGAGGCCAAGGAGAAGAATTTTTCTCCCTCCTCCTTCTAACACCCTTTTAGATATTTGAAAACTGCTGTCATGTCCCCTCTCAGTCTTCTCTTTTCTAAACTGAACAGGCCCAGTTCTTTCAGTCTTCCCTCATAGGTTATGTTTTCTGGACCTTTAATCATTTTTGTTGCTCTTTTCTGGGCCATCTCCAATTTCTCCACGTTTCTTGGAATGTGGTGCCCAGAACTGGACACAATATCCAATTGGGGACCAATCAGTGCAGAGTAGAGCAGCAGAATGACTTCTCGTGTCTCGCTCACAACACTCCTGTTAATGCCTCCCAGAATCATGTTTGCTTTGTTTGCAACAGTGTCACACTGACTCCTATTTAACTTGTGGTCCACTATGACCCCTAAATCTCTTTCTGCAGTACTCCTTCCTAGACTGTCGCTTCCCATTCTGAGAATCCTGTTAATAGTCTTTTGTTAAGTGGGTGACTGGAGAGTAGAATGGTGGTAGTTTGGTGTGACTACAGATCTGTTTTAATTGGCCCTGTTAAGAATGGTCTATATGTGAGAATTGTTGAACCAATGGTTGCTTGCCTTTGGCACAGTGAAGGGATGGTGTGTCGTATCTGAGGGAGATTCCACTGGTCCTAAAGAGACTGGAGACTGCACTTGTAGTTTTGGTTTTAAAATTATGGAAAGCATGGGGAAGGTCATCAGAGAAGCTAATCACACCAGCAGCTGTAGTTTCCCTACTTTATTAAAATAAATCTGCTTGTACTGCAGATGTGAACCCTACCTAGTGGCTTATCTATTTCCCTATCAAAAAGAGCAAAACTGACTCTAAATTCCTCTCATTTATTTGAATGTTTTTACTGACCTTTCTTATACGATCACTGAAATCTTTCAGATAAGCTTTGGTGTTAAATGAGTTCTTGATCCTTTCTCATCAGGTGTACGTGACAGCTGAAAGCCGCTTCAGCACATTAGCAGAGTTAGTTCACCATCATTCTACAGTGGCAGATGGACTGGTGACAACCTTGCATTACCCAGCACCCAAGTGCAATAAGCCCACAGTCTATGGAGTGTCCCCGATCCATGACAAGTGGGAGATGGAACGGACGGATATCACCATGAAGCACAAACTTGGGGGAGGGCAGTATGGTGAAGTATACGTTGGTGTCTGGAAGAAATACAATCTCACGGTTGCTGTGAAAACACTAAAGGTGGGTTTAAGACCGCTAGGCCCTCACTGTTTCTTTAGAAATGTGTGTTTAGCCAGCAGAAGAGTGCAGTGTGCTCTTGGTTCTGAAACATTTGGCACCTGCTAATGCCAAATACATCAGGAAATTGAGTGGAGGAAACCCTAACTTGACTATACAGTAGTCTGTAGGGATGAAAGGTTGATAACAAACTTTATGGTCTGTGTGTGGGTTAAAAGCAATTAGAATTCCCTAGTCAAGTCTGTTGTTCTCCATGGAGACTGAGTTTCCAAGGCAGGACTATTGGAACAGCTACCTGGAAGAAGAAAACAGGTTATGGAGGCTTCTCAGAGAACAGAGAGTAAGAAAAACTACTTCTCCACCCTAATCCTGCCTCTGGAAAACTTCACAAACAACAGTGTCCCCTCGCTTCCCCTTCCCAACCTTCATTTAATTTCCAACATTGTGTAATCCAAATCTTTAGTGCTTATTGATGGTTGACTTCCAATTAAGATTCATTTAAAGATCTGGGGAATTGTAAGATTCTAGTCCCAGTAGCAGGCACAACAGAATCAAGCTTATTGGGTTCAGTGTCTGGCAGGGAATCCTGATATGCACAACAAAGGCACTTACACTGAGGGACAACAAAGCTTTCGCTGCCGTTATTAGCACAATTAGTAAAGAGACAAAAACCCCAAACCACCTCCAAAGATAATAGTACAAGTTACTGTTAATGCTTGTACCATTGCTTGCATGCATACCCACACATTTCTTTGGGGATCTGACAATGAAAGGGAAAAAAACATGCTCTGTCTTTGGCATACAAAGCAAGTTCAATAACCGCACACATACCCTCCCCCCACCCTTATACTGGGGTCTGCCCTGTAGTAGGGCTTAGGACTATATTAGAGGCTGTGCACTCATATGTTCATTTGAGTGCACAGCCTCTCTTGTCCATATTTAATTTCCTCACCCTATGGCAGGGGTGGACAGTAATTTTCACAGGGAGGCCCACTGCCTGTATTTTGGTATGTGGTCACAGGTCCCAGGAAGGCTGGGGACTACAGAGGGACAAAGAGAGTGAGACACACTGTGTGTGTAACAGATTGTGTGTGTGTGTGGTACAGAAACAGTGTGGCACAGACTGTGATTGTGTGACAGTGACAGAGTGTGCGCGCTGGCTGCTGCTGGGTAAGTTTCTGAGAGAAGCCACACTCTGTCTGAGAGGGAAAGCTGCTTTGCTGTCTCCCCCTTTCTCCACTCTGCAGAATGGAGTATGGGAGGGGAAGTGTATGGAAGAGAGAGCACACATGAGCTCTGAAATCTTAGAAACAGGACACTGCCTCTTAAGACTGGCACTCCTCTGAGTCACTCGCCATCTGTGCTTCAAACAAGAGCCGCTCCACTGTGGGTCTCCCTCTCCCCACCCCCTGCTTTGCAGAGATGGAGTACAGGGACAGGCGGACACCCTGATTTCAGCTCTCCCTCCATCCCCTGCTCTGCACAGCTAGCTGGAGAATCCTGGGAGCAGCTCAGCTGCAGGACAGAGCAACATGGAGGGAGGGGCAGCTCAACAAATGCAAGTTTGTGGTTAAGCATCTACAGTGATCCATTGTAAAATATCCAAACTGTTCCAGCAATTATCTGATATTATTATGCACAAATTCTCCCCCTCCCGCGCCCTTTAGTATGCTATTCCCAATTCCAAAACTGCCAGGCCATTTTTCTATGCTAGAGATCACTGTCCTAAATTAGCAGGGCTCGACAAACAATGTAATCTACTCGCTTGTGGCGAGTAGATTACACCCTGGAAGAGCCGGCACAGAGCGATCTGTGCATGCACAGAGCGCAGAACCGCGCAGCTGGCGAGCCCTGTAAATTAGCATAAGGGTCCGAGGCCTAATGCTAACTGCTTAAGCTAGTATCTTACAGGTACAGGTCTACAGATTCCTTGTGTTACCACTAAGTACAGTAAAATGCTAAATCTCACTCTATGCAGTAGAGTTGTAGCTGTTATCTTTCCAGGTGAGGATGCTTTGGCAGGATTTCCTTGCATAACCCATCAAAACTACTCCTTAATCAGTCAAAGGAACTGCTGATAATTGACCTCAGGGCATCTTTCCTTTCTTGAGTTCCCCCAGCCCAGTCCAGTCTGGGGCAGGGGAGCACATGAAGTCTTTGCCTCCTCCGCCCCCACCCTGCAAGTGGTGTGTGATGCCTAGAGGGAACCGCCTGGTGGGGGGAGGAGATTTTGCATGCTCCCCTGTCCCTAGGTCTCATTGGCCTGGAGGTGGGGGAGCGGCAGGGCGGCTGTGGGCTGGATCAACCAGCTTGGCAGGCCAGATCTGGCCTACGGAGGCTCTCCTGCCCACCCCTGGTCTGTATAGATCAGTCAATAGGCTGATAAAGTTGCTTGACAACACTGCAGTTGTTCGATTTGCTGAGTCAGAGGTTATGGAGTCCTTTGATTCTGATTTGTTCAAAGCCAGAGCAGCAACACGTATGATAAAGGGTGGGAAAGAATAGACATGCTATTTTGCAACACTAGTGCACTGATGAATCCAGCAGGGAGAAACAGATGCTAAAGAATTCATCTCCAGTTTCTGAGTTGGATCACCGGAATATTAAAACAGACAGAGTCATTAAGAGGGATTTGCCTTTTTTCTTTTGTCCCATTTTTCCAGGAAGATACCATGGAGGTGGAGGAGTTCTTGAAAGAAGCTGCTGTGATGAAGGAAATCAAGCATCCAAATCTGGTGCAATTATTAGGTGAGTGAAGGAGCTTGATATCTCTCCTGTGCTTAGCATCTTTGTTTCTACTGAAATTGAATCTTTGTTTAAAAACAGAGACAGCTTTCACATTGCTGACCTGCATTACTCTGTTCGCTATTTTTGCAGTCTGGCTCTAGTGTGGGTTTAAGCTAACAATACGTCCACAGTGTATGCTTGTGGCAGTGGCATTCAGACTTGGTCTAACTGATGGCCATTTTGACAATTTGACACCCCAAATTTTAATCCAATACATTAAAAGAGAACAGTGATCTCTATTGACAGAGTCCAGTAAGCAATGCTGGATGGGTGCTTGGATCAAACTCCATACTGAGATCTGTCACTTCTTTTGATGGTGGCCTCACCTTTGTGCTGCATGTACTATTGGGGCACTAGTGCTTTAGCCATATAGGGTATGTTTGACAATGTACATATTAAACTTGGCACACCCACACTCTGTCTCTGGCCAGTGAAACCTGAACGGGCATTTTATACAACTCTGTGTCTATAGCATCCAGTGAGATTACATCTTGACTACTGCCATGCTAATGGACAGACTACTCTTTCAGTTTGTCAGAACAACATTACAAAATGTTACTTACCTGGCCTTGGGGTTTTGTTGGTGGTGGGTTTTTTTTTAATTTGTGCAAAAGCCAAAAATACAAAGACAGTTAAAGTAATACTGTTATCACTGCCCTGAGAGACTGAGGGTGCATTTGCACATCTTATTTTGAAATTATTTCGAAGTAGCTTATTTTGAAATTTGGTGTGTCTACACAGTGCCAAATTTTGAAATAACACGCTATTTTGAGCCATCACTTATCCCTCATGCAATGAGGTTTACTGGGATAATGAAATAGCATGCCTGTTATTTCAAAATATATTTTAAAAAACTGCACGGCTTGTGTAGACACGGGGTAGCTATTTTGGGATACCTCTGGTATCTCAAAAAATTCACACAGTGTAGACGTACCCAGAGTCATATCTAAAGGCAAATATGATGGTCTCATTCACACAAGACAATGTCATAGTCTTTGCACAGATACTTATATGAACAAAAAGACATTTATTGAAATAGCCCCACTGAATAGGTTAAATGTGTGTATAACAAATAACAGTACTAAGCAACCAAATCTCTTCTGCTGTGAGAGGAATAATATGCATATCATCAAATAAATTCAAACCCAGAGGTCAATACACTAATATTTAACAGAGAACTGCAGTGGAGAGGCAAAACAGAGAGCAACACGTGAGTGGGAGAAATATGCAGGCTTTGCACCTTGGCCATACCCCAGTTCTGCCACTGGCATCTGCGTGGTATGGTTATTACTGCTACATAGTTAGCATAGCTGTTAATTCTGTACAAGGAAAGAGTCTCCATAGACATTAGATCCCAAATCTTCACCAGCGTATAGTCCCATCTGCTGCTCCCCCTGGACTGTAACTACTTTCAGGAGCCAAGTTGTCAGCTAAGACTAGGGTGAAAGGAAATAATGCTGGGAATGTGAACAACTCCAGTAATCTTAATCACTCTGTACCCATTATCAAGCAGAGACACATGGGATGTCTCGGCCCAGCCCTGCCTACTAGCAGGACGAGAGTACAGTGTATATAGACTTGTGTTTTTTGGGGTGCCTCTTCTGACGCATGTTGGGAGTATGATGTTTCTGAGTGAGAGAGAGCCAGAATGATAAACCGTAAAAGGGAGTTACGAGGGGGTAAGACCTGTTTATAGGATAATTGACACCAATATCATGTTTCGCTTTGTCATCAATACATACTTTGCACACAGCTGCATTAAATGTGCAAGTTATCAAAGGAGTGTGAGTGAATTAAATGAGTAGTTGATTAGTCACCTACCCAATAATCCTAGGCTACTTGCATCCTCCTCCTCCCCCGCCTCTATATTAGAGGCAGCAGGGTGGGGGGAAGGGAAGCAAGAGCTGGTGCTGGGGGCAGCTGGCTTAAAAGCTGGTTCCCTGCAGTGTCACTACCACCATCACCACCACCCTCCCGCTCTGCTGTCTCTATCAGAGGCAGCAGTGTGGGGTGTGGTTGGTGATGGGGCACGCTGCTTCAGCAGTAGCCCGTCTGCAACGGCCAGGGCTGGCCATGAACAGGGGCTGCTCCGGTAGCAGCCTCCGGTAGCAGCCCCTGGTTGCAGAGAGTCCCAGCTCTTTGCTGGGACCCCCTGTGGACAGGGGGCTGCTGGATCTGGCACAAGTCGAGACAGAGGAAGCCTCGCTCAGTCTCAATTCTTGCTGGGTCCAGGAGCTGCCTGCATGCCCGGCTCTTACTAAATTTAAACTGCAGAACTGCAGTGGGGGTAGCTCCTTCTAAGTGCCTTCTCTTAGGGTATGTCTACACTACCCTGCTAGTTCGAACTAGCGGGGGTAATGTAGTCATCCGCAGTTGCAAATGAAGCCCGGGATTTGAATTTCCCAGGCTTCATTTGCATGAAGCCGGCCGGCGCCATTTTTAAATGCCGGCTAGTTCGGACCCCGTGCCGCGCGCCTACACGCGGCACGGAGTAGCTAGTTCGAATTAAGCTTCCTAATCCGAACTAGCTGTACTCCACGAAGCCTAATCCGAACTAGCTACTCCGTGCCGCGTGTAATAATCCGTGTCTAGAAGCCTAATCCGAACTAGCTAGTCCGTGCCGCGTGTAGCCGCGCGGCACGGGGTCCGAACTAGCCGGCATTTAAAAATGGCGCTGGCCGGCTTCATGCAAATGAAGCCTGGGAAATTCAAATCCCGGGCTTCATTTGCAACTGCGGATGACTACATTACCCCCGCTAGTTCGAACTAGGGTGGTAGTGTAGACATACCCTTATTGACTAATCGTGTAGTGATACAATTTGTATTGATTACACTATTACCCAGTTACCTGCCTCTTAACATCCTTAGTGTGAATGAGTCCCAATCTACAAGCAGGCTGTATCGTGGTAGTGGCTTACATTGTTTGTGACAATCTAACTTGTAGATTTACCCAGCTGACTTACCTGGTAATGGCTGGTTCAGGGGGGAGTTCTGATCAGCTCTCTTGAGTTTGAGGGTGAGAAATAGATCAAAATCCTGGGATTCCAAACATCTCTTCTTCCACTCAGTCTCACAGCGATGCAAGGGTACAGCTTTCTTATACATATTCTATTGGCTTGTTAGTACATTGGTACTAAGACGGTATGTAGAGTGGCACTGAATGTGTATTTTGCTTCATGTATCTCAGTTTGTTACACCGCACTAGAAAATAAAACATTCAACAAAAAAACATTTTGGCAGTGTCTCCACTACCAGGTTTTTGTACAAAAACCGGCAGAACATCCACACCTCAAGTGTGTTTTTGCACAAGTAAATCGGCAGAACAGAGGGCTTTCGCTGGTAGAGTTATTCCTCTCCCCACAAGGAATAACTCCTTTTTGCACTACAGCTCTTGCACAGAAAGGCAAGTGTGGACGCTTCGGAGGGTTTTTTGTGCAAGAAACCCCTATGGGAAAAAGCACAGGTACTCTGATGGCCATTCTGCGAATGGCCATCAGAGCTTTCTTGTGCAAGAGTGTCCATGCAGTGTGGATGCTCTCCTGGGCGAAAGCGCATCTTTTTTGCGATGCGCTTTAAGGTCTGGATGCACTTTTGTGCAAGAAGTTTTTGCACAAGAACTCTTCCGCAAAAGGCTTCTTGCGCAAAACCCCTGCAGTGTAGACAAAGCCTGTGAGTACTACAGATAGGAGGGGATTACATTACCCTGGTAGAAAACGCAGTAAATGGATTTCAGATCCTTCAAGAGTCCTGGGCTGTGTCTAGACTGGCAAGTTTTTCTGCAAAAGCATGTGCTTTTGCGGAAAATCTTGCCAGCTGTCTACACTGGCCGCTTGAATTTCCGCAAGAACGCTGACTTCCTACTGTCTGAAATCAGTGCTTCTTGCGGAAATACTATGCTGTTCCCGTTCAGGCAAAAGTCCTTTTGCACAAAGCTTTTGCGCAAAAGGGCCAGTGTAGACAGATCAGATTCGTTTTGCGCAAAAAATCCCCGATCGCGAAAATGGCGATCGGGGCTTTTTTGCGGAAAAGCGTGTCTAGATTGGCACGGACGCTTTTCTGCAAAAAGTGCTTTTGCGGAAAAGCGTCAGTGCCAATCTAGATGCTCTTTTCCGTAGCCCTGGTGAACTAGGGCTGAGGTAATAGTTACTTAAATGTTAATGTTGCCTCTTTCTCTCATGGCTAGGTGTGTGCACCCTGGAGCCACCCTTTTATATTGTGACGGAATATATGCCATATGGGAACCTGCTGGACTACCTACGAGAATGCAACCGAGAGGAGGTGAGCGCTGTCGTGCTGCTCTACATGGCCACGCAGATCTCCTCTGCTATGGAGTACTTGGAGAAGAAGAACTTCATCCATAGGTAGGTAGCATGCTGTGTCACAAACCCACATGGCAGTGAAGGGGGAAGGGATATTGCCATTTTTTGCAAGTTTCATGGGCTTGTGTCAGCCGACGGTCAGGGCAGTGAGTCCCTTATGGCCGGCTGAAGTTCTTTTAAATTGTGCTTGGTTCTGTTACAGCAACTGAAGGAGTCAGGATAAAGCTTAAACAGTTACTATTTTATTGTTACAGGGTAAACTTAGTTGTTAAATGCTACTGCTATGTTACAGATAACACAGCCACTACAAAGGACAGGACAGAAATTACACTAATAAGTCACTTACAGGTACCATGAAACCCTTTTGGTTCTCTGAGCTCTTATTAAATGCATGCAAAATAGACACATAGCAGGTATATATTCTCACCCCTGCGTTCCAGACTTGGCGTGGCCAGCGTCTTTCTCTCAATCCCTCGGGAAGAAGTAGGGCGAGGCTGGGCGTCCCACAGACCTCGGGAGACAATCAATACCTGCCATCAGGTATAGATGATTGGAGCTCAAATGGGGTGGGATGCTGAACCTCTTTTATACCCCTTGGGTCATGTAGGCTTCTTCCTGGGCTCAAGTGGCCAATGAGGAAAAATAGCTTTGAACACCAAGTTTCCCACGAAGGGTGCAAAGCATAATTTACACCTGGGAAAATGCAGACAATGGGCACCTCTGGTATGTGATGGGCGAAGATTCCTCTCCTGGGACAGTGCAGGCGTGTCAATTACTGGTACTAGCCATCAGGGCGACGGGAGGCCCCGGGTCATCAGCTAGCCCATTTATTGTCTGGTTTCTGTTTATGGTAGAGTCAGGGACAGGCAGCACACCTGCGTTCCCAGGGCATCAAAGGCTGACTGCCTTTCTCTTGCTCTCTGGGGGGGGGGGAACAAGATGGGGTTCGTGGAAAAACAAGATGGGGTGTGTGTCTGGCTACAGCTTGGAAGTGGGATTTCAAGTGAGGTCTCCTACAAGCTCTTTGAAAGACATGGGGAACCAGAGTCACCTGTTCAGGTCTGGTCTAATTTAGTAATGAAAGGACACGGGCGCAGTGAGTTAATTTCATCCCATTCTCAATGGGCATGTGTCCCTCCTCACAATAGCCATTGATGTTAGCAGCCTAAACAGAGGCCCAGCATAGAATGAACCATGGGCACACCTTCCTAGTGGTGGTGCTGAAGTTTCCTTGTTCAGAGTGGTTTGTTTCAGTGTGTTCAGTTGCTAATTCAATTAAAATTACTCTGTCCTTTGAAAATGTAGTGGCATAATGGCAGCGCAGTAGAAGGGTCAGGCAAAAATACATTTGCTCCCACTCATCCTGGTGTGGATATGAGTGAGTGACTAATAGATACTTTAGGCCCTTTCAGCATCAGTCTCATGGTAAGGAGTGCATATATATTGGGCACTTATTTTTATTTAAAATAATAATTGGCTCCTGTGGCCAGGCCTTTTGTAATCACATAATACTATTGTTGTCACCCTGTCCTTCATAAGTTACATTCCCTGAGACAGAGTCCATGGCTTGTACCATGCATTGTGCCTCATACACTTTGGGGAACTTGCCATTTTGCCTCTCCCCTCAAGAGCACCTTCCCATGTCTAGGTTCAGTGTTGCAGTGCATTTTTCAATCTAACTCCCCCTGTAGTAATTCTGGTGCCATCAGTGTCTGTCATTGTATGGGCCTAGCCTTCCAGAGTTAACAGAAAAGTCTCAGAGGAAACCCCAAAGCTGAGTCACTTTTAAGCTCTGTCCTCAGTCGGGGGGCCATGATTACGGTTCCCTCTAAGATTTTCAGTCCTTGGGCAGGTTGAACTTTCTTTTGGGCGTGCTGAAATTTCTTATGTGCAACACCAATATTGAGGTGTTGTGTGCAAGGCACCCACCAGTACAAACAAAAACCATAGATATAAATATATATTTAGAAGTAGAAGAAAATATATTAAAATAAGAGATTAATTGACAAGGAGCAATACTTGTAATTATTTAATATACAATCAAATAAAAAGAAAACTAACACCACCCTTGGCTTCAGAATTAGGTTGTGCCCACGAAAGCTCATGATACTATTTGCAGGGCTTGACAAATAATGCAATCTACTTGCCCGTGGCGAGTAGATTGCAACCCGGAAGAGCCGGGTTCCGGCGATCTGCGCATGTGCAGAATGATCTGTGCATGCACAGATCGCCGGACAGCGTGGCTGGTGAGCGGGGCTCGCCGCGGTTCGGCAAGCCCTGACTATTTGTATATTTTTGTTAATCTAAGTTGCTGCAGGACCATTATTGCTTAAGTTTTTTAGTTACAGACTAACATGGCTACCCCTCTGAGACCTTAGAGTACATGTAGCATCATCCTTTCTAACAGACAGATGCGTGTTTCAAAGACCTGGCAAATAAGGTTTCATCCTACAAAACAGCCAGCATCACACCTAGTACTTGCTGCTTCTGACTCATAAGAGCCAGAACTCTACCAGATGGCAAAGTTCTGGCCTTAATGCAATACAGTTAATCATGTTTGAATTAGTAACACAGAATTTTAAAAAATCATTAAGACCAGAGTTTTAGAAATCTGCAACACTCAAAAAATTCTGATAAAAGAATCTTTTTCTTTCTTACCTTAAGCCATTAACACAGGGGTGGGCAATAATTTGATGGGGGCCACTCCCAAGAATTTGGTGAGTGGTCAAGAGCTGCACTCTTCCTTTATATTAATGGAGGTGGTCTGGGGATCTGGGATGCAGGTTGGGTGCAGAAGGGAGCTTGGGGTAAGGGACTGGGATTTGGGATCTGGGAGGGAGTTTGGGTGAAGCGAGGGATTGTGACCTGGGGCAATGGACTGGGGCGAGGAGGAGAGGGTGCAGGGCCTGGGAGGGGGTTGTGACCTGGGCCAGGAGTACAAGAAGGGGGTGCAGGGATTTGGGCTGTGAGTAGGGATAGAGGACTGGGGTGCAAGGTCTAAGAGGGGGTTGTGATCTGAGGAGGGGATGCAGTGTCTGGGTAGGTGTACGGGGGCTGGAGAGGGGGCAGAAGGTTTAGGTTACATGGAGTAGGGGGGCAGAGGGGCGGGGTGCCTTACCTGGCTCCCAGCCAGCAGCCCAGCAGGTTCTTTAGCCAGGGTCCTGCCTTCCAGCCCCTGTACACACTCAGGAGAGTATTTTTATTTCTCAGAACTGAATGCTGTGAGCCTGGGGGATAAGGGAGAAGGGGCACTTGACATGCTGCCTGTCCTACAAATAGGCAGCTGCTATTGGTCAAAACTGGCCAATGGGAGCTACTAGGGGTGAGGGCAACATGAGAAACCTGCCTCCCTTCCTTCCAGACTCTCAGCGTTGAGAAACACACACGTTTCCAGCTTTCCTGAATGCAGGGCAGGCAGGGAGCCGGCCAAAGCTTTCATGGCCAGATCCGGCCTGTGGATCATCTTTTGTGTAGGTCTGGAGTAGAGGCTGGAGCCAGCGTCTCCATTTTTAGCAGGCAGCTCTGCCCTGCTCCTGCTTCCCCAGCCAATCAGCTGAGCTCCCTGTGCAGGCAGGAAGCTCTGAACCTCTTCCTGGGGCTCAGAATAGGGTTGTGCGCCCACGCAGGCACACTGCTTACATGGAACCTTGGCTGATACCTGGCCTCTTCTCCTTCTCCTTCTGCTTCCTGTGACTTGGCCACTTGGTCTGCGAAGGAGTAGGGGAAACTAGGCCCACTCTCCTTTCGAGGTTGTGGCTAAGGACGGCTCCTTCAGTCCCTATGCCATATTCCCTGGACTGCTCCTACCTTTTGCTCAGCTTGTCACAATCTGTCAGGCCTCTAGATTCTCCTGTCACTGCTCGGGATTATAGAATCATAGGACTGAAAGGGACCCAAGGTCTTCTAGTCCAGTCCCCTGTACTCCAGGCAGGGCCAAGTATTATCTAGACCATCCCTGACAGGTGTTTCTCACCTCCTCTTAAAAACCTCCAATGACAGAGAT